ATGAGCTTTGTAAAAATCGACGTGTTTCAGAAAGGTGGGGCATAGAGGAGAAACAATAATGTACCATATGTGGAAATTAATGTATTTTTTTAACCTTAAACTGCATAAACACATTTCATTACACCAAATACACAAAATAATGTTATTTTTTAGCAACGTCATATGACCCCTTTAATGCAATTTATAGCAACAAAAACTGCTGATGCCTTAATAAAACAACTGACTTTAAAATGGAAGATGGCACTTCCTCTCCTACAGTTGCCAAACTGAGCATTGCAGTTTCCACTTCCAAAATTTTTGAAAATGTTCACTAAACTAGAATTTTCAAAAACACAGTAAAAACAGTAATATTGTGAAATTTTATTGTAATTTAAAATAACTCAGTTTTAATACATTTTAAAATGCAATTTATTCCTATTGTATTTATGCTATGAGAGTGTGTTGAACCTATTATACTCCATGCAATGTAGCAAAAGGCTAATAAGAAAAGCCCAAAATATGACCATAACCATAAATATTTATAAACAGCTACAGGTCAGGGGGTAGAATTTGGCACCACCATCAAAACACCAGCAGGGTTTTTATCGTGAAATAAACTAAAGCCATTAAAAATTGTTACTTGAAATGATATAGTCATTAACTGAAATAAAATAAAAACAAAACTAAACTTATTTTATTTCAGTTAGTAGCCAACACATTTTCATTTAAGTTGAAGTACTAAAATAACTAAAACTAAATAAATAAACGAATAAATAAAAAATAATATAAATATTTTTAAAAACTAATAAAATTGACGAAAACACACAAGAACATTTCTAAAAATTGAACAAAAATAAAACAGAAAACACAAAAAATAAAATCTAATTCAGAATATTAACAAAAACTGTAATGTATCAGTGATACTATAATCACCTGCAAGTCACTGTCACTGTTTCCTGCAGAGCCTCATAGCCCGTTGGTCATCCTAGAGAGGGGCCGTCTCACATTTAGTGAATACGAGCAGCAGATCCGTGCTCGACGTGATTTCATTCGTTTTGCCCGAAAAGAGGTAGAGTCTGAAAAGAGGGTAAGATTATTGCTACTAGACACCTGCATTGCTGACTTCATCTTGATTGTCTTTTAAGAACTTCATTGAGAGTATTATGTAGTTGTTATATCATGCATGCATGTGCCTCCAGCTGGAGTTCGTGCGAAGACGCTATCACAAGGATCTGCTCTTGAACCCCGTCCTGATGCTTAACTTCTGCCCAGATCTGCTGTCAGAACCAACAGAACTGCAGCAGGCCAGCAGAGAGCTCATCTTCCTCATTGACAACAGTAACACAATGACGCAGCACAACATCAACAAGATCAAGGTTCTTGCGATCTCCTGTATGAGCAGCTGCTCTTCTGGCACTAAATTTTGGCACATGTGCTTTTTGGTCTTCAGTACATGATTTTTCCCCTCAAACTGTTATTATCTGCTATAAAGCACAGATCAGTGGTTCTTTAAAATCACTGTTGCCATCAGAAGTTAGCAGCTCTTGTTCCACCTACAAAGCTAGAAACAAACAATATCATCTGATAGGATTCCACTCAGTATACGCCAGTTGAAATGAACCGGAAATGTTCCTGTGCTTTCATATCTTTGACAGGAGGGAATGTTGGTGGCTATCAAGAGTCTGCCGACCCACTCTATGCTGAACATCGCTGGAATCTGCTCTACAGTCAGGCCTCTTTTCAACTCCAGCAAGCCCTGCACAGATGTGAGTCTTTCTCCAGTCTCATCGCATTGCATTTATTTTAGGAGAAACTGAACCTCAGAAAAGATGGAGATCACAAAGGGTTCTGGATTGATGTTTACCTTTGAGTGACCTGCTGATAGCAATCTCTGTCCAGGTCGCTACTACTGGTTGCCATGACACTGCAATATCAGGTTGAAGCAGGTCCAGGGTCTGGCAGGACAAATTGTTTTAAAACAGCGCGAGCCATATGGTGCCGTCATGCATTTTACAGCATGCAGTGATCAAAAACAAACTTGTTTTGCTCCATTGTGCACCACTGCTCTTTACATTTCCATCACACAGAGCATCCATCACTCTAGCCCTCGGGTGCTCTTCGATCACTTTTGACTCAAAAATGTTCCGTTTAGATTTTTTTTTTAAATTGTAACTTCATTGAAAATGGTGCAAAACTTGGTGACTTTTGTGGCATTGGCTATGTGAACACACACAAATGTTGGATGTGATTGGAAAAGACCAAACGGTCATTAAAAAGTCACAATTGTATTCTTCATGGTCAAAAATGACTGCCATAGGAAATGATGGGAAATATGAAAATACAGATTATTTTTTAAAGGTACAACCCACAAAAGCCAATATACAGAAAAAAGCACTGATTTAAATTATAGGACCATTCTGGGTTAAATACAATTTAAGTATTACCATATTTAATTTTTCACAAATGAAAGCAAGGATTTATTATGGTCTCCAGATGCTGTTATTTGAGATAGTTATATTTAACCAAAGAATATTTCTTTAAAACGTCACTGTTGGTTGAATATTGCCAGTTATGAACGTGTAATATTTAGAGTTTGAGGAAGTCATGACCTATATATGAAAAGGGGGGGTCCCTTTCTTGCCTTAACATATAATAAAATGAGAGATACTCTGTTAACTCTGACCTGTAAGGTCTAAATGTTTTTTTTTCTTTTACTCAGCTGTGTATTAAATTTTGTATTCATGTAAGTTTTTATTTTAGTTATTTCCTTTATGGGTAATAAATGGGTAAAACTAAAACATGCTACTGTAAAAACCTTGTTAATTGATGTTCCAAAAACACAGGTCACTGTTTATTTATTTTTTTATTATATCAGGGCTAAAGGGACTGCCATTCTCTCCCTCTCTCATTTTTCAGAGCACAGTGACTCAGGCATTGGAGTACATCCAGAAGATTCGCACAGACCAAGGTGGTGCTAACCTGTGGGGGGCGCTGTCCTGGGTTTATCGGCAGCCCATCCACCGCAGCTGCCCGCGACAACTCTTCATCATCATGGATGGAACCTGCAGCAATGTAGGCCGCGTGTTAGAACTGGTCAGGAGAAGGGCCTGTAACGTCAGGTAAAAACTGTAATGTTAGATTAAATTAGCATAGAAGACACCATGCCTGGTAACACCTAATATAAAATAAATTAATCTGAACAGATGGCCTTTCACAACAATCATTACTTTTAAAGGTCCCATATTGTCAAAAATTTCCTGGCTTTTTTCACGATAACTGAGGTCTAGGGGCTATTTAACTACCATATAAGTTTCAAAACAGTCAGTCCACAGTAAAATGCACACAGCCTGCATAAAGTAGCTGTGATTTTTCACGAACCGTTGTGACTTCCGTAAAAAGTTGACGTCAGAACTACACAGTCACTGCCTTCAGTCACCACTCCGAGCACCGGCCACAGTCCCACTCTCCTTTTGTCAAACCCCCAGACAACATCGCCTCCATGCCATTGCTGAGCAACAACAACACAGAAACATGTCGAAAAAAGGTTAACTTTAACCACGAAACCAGATCGGCCGACCTGTAACGTTACACTCTCACTCAAAGGATGGACGTTCTGACAGGATTGTTACTATGAGGTGGACCACATCTAACGTGTATAGTAAAGACAAACTCACCGTGTCTATCTAGTCATTGAATATTAATTAGACAGGCCAAAATCGACCTGTTCTCAGCAGAGCTCCTGAGAGAGGAGCTGTAAAAATATATTGGGTTGGTTTTTGGTAGTTATACCACAAATATATATTCTTAAGGACATCAAGACTTAAAATAAAACTCCAGAAAGGTGTAAAATATGTGACCTTTAAGATATATTTCTAAAGTATTTATTAATATTTTGAATTAGCTTTTTTATTTTTTTAATCTTTTTTTAATAATAGTATATATAGTTTTGTTTTACTTTTTTTTAATATACTTTTAGCAACATTAAGATTTTAGATCAGCAAACACTTTTAGAATTAGCTTTAAAAATGGCTAAACACTTCACATCAGCAAACATCTCTAAAACCAGTTTTAAAACCAGCTCCCAAATATCACTCAGACCCAGCACCCAAAAACCAGCTCAGCACATTTCACTCCAGTAAACTGCACATATCTGCACATTTTACGTCAGCAAACAACTTTTTTCTTTAACAAGTGCACAGATAACAAACACATTTGCCACAATTTGCGATTTTGCAATATCATTATCCTAATTAACAAAACCTCAACTAATTACATATAATAACACAGTGAAATAAAATACCTAATTAGAAGTTAGAACAGCATAATATACATTATATGTATAAAAAATATGTAAATAAAAAATAAAAGATGCTTAGCTTAACTGTCTATAGACCCAGCGAGTACATATCGCATCCTGCTTTTAAAACAAGCTAAACACCTTTCACTTCACAGCAAGCAGCCATAAAAAGAAGCGCAACAGTTTTCACACTAGCAGACATTTTTTTCACCAGCTAAACTCTTAGAGCACTTAAACTCCGATCAGTTTGATCTAAGGCATTACCATGGAAACACCCAATGCCTCAATAATGTACCTAAATGAAACTCATTTAGCCAGTCAGATGGGAAACAGCTGTAATCCAGATTCCAAACATACTTGTATTTGCTGCTGTCATTTCCAGTAAACAAAAATAAAGCTGAGGTTGAGAAATTATTTCATCGTACTGTGCTTACATTAAACAGCACAAAATGTCCCCTCCCATAATACACTGACTTATATTTAGAGAGAAATGCTCTTCAGCAAACACACACACACACACACATATAGCTTTCACTGTACTGGAACACAGACTCGTTATTGATACTCAGTCAAGACATTTAAAAGCCTTCGACCCAGGCGGAGCAGACCTGAAGTCCAAACAGCGTGTGTGTGTGTGTGTGTGTGTGTGTGTCGCTGGTTTCTCTTCAGACATTTAATTAGTGAAATGGTCCAGATTATTGTCAGGGGAATACTAAACATTCTCTTTTCCCTCACATCGGAACATTGGCAATCCATCACATGCATGTCTTGAATCATGAGAAATGTTTCTTGAAATGTGTTTGCAGACATGAAACCATACATACGCCTATATAATCCACTGTAAAAAAGAATATGTCATAACACAGGTAGTTCAAAGCAAATATACAGTGTCTTCATATCATACAAATGCACTATAATATAAAGAGCCAGTGTATTTGCATTGAAGTACCTGTGTTTCAACATATTCTTGGTGTGGTTCCAGGTGCTTCGGTCTGGGTCTTGGTCCTCAGGCCTGTCGGAGGCTACTGCAGGGCGTTGCCAAGGTTACAGGAGGCAGTACAGAGTTTCTAAGTGAAGAAGAAAGGCTTCAGCCAAAGGTGCGAGAGTTCACAGCGCCCTCTACAGGGACATAGACAGAACCGCTTATTTCAAATATAAAATTAAACAAATCAATAAAGACTACTATTACTATTTAGTAACTACTATTACTATTTAGTAACAAATAATAAAGTAAAAATATATATTAATACTATTTTATAGTATTATTATATAGTAAAAATATTTTTTAGTAGTAGTGGTAGTAAAAATAATAATAATAATTATTATTATTATATTTTACAGAACAGCAGTTAAATTACAATCCTAATATTATGGCCTTAATATTAATGGTATTAATGGTCTTAATTTCTTTGGTTTCAATTGTTACATTGTAGAGCTTTTATTTTTGGTGAAAACAAAACTATGGTATGAAATATACCATGGTACTGAAATTCTTGTACTATGGTATTTATTTTTAACTTTTTAAAGGTACTTCTGAATATACCGTGTTTAAAATAAGTAAGTACTGCGGTATCATGTCCAAAAAATATAAAAAAATACCTTGATATTTGTCTGTGGAAATCTGCAGCGATTTCTAAAAAAAACTATTTGTGTATTTCTGTGTTGTAGTGTAGTTATCAGTGTTTTGATTATTCTCTACAGTTGATTAAATGTCTAAAGAAAGCTCTGGAACCTGTGTTGATGGATGTAAGGATTGATTGGTATGTGCCGGACAATGTGGAGGCCCTTCTCTCACCCAATGAAATTCCTCCGCTCTACCCTGGCAACTGCCTGATTGGCTACTGCACTCTATATGACGTGTCTGGATTCAGGGCCCAGAAAAGTGAGGTGAGACACTGTACAGTACCACACTTAGTTTCTCCTGTTCACTATATGCCAAATGAAGATATGCTAATATAAATGAGATGCATACAGTTGCATAAAGTCTTAGTTTGTGTCTGTACACTTGCTCATAAGCAGGTGAAGCCTCGTCCATACAGAAGCCGTCCACGTGGTTCTGCAGGGACGGTTTTTGAGCTCTCTCCCTCAACATCTGTGCTCCTTCAGCCTCTGGTTGCTCCGGAGGAACGAGAGAGAGATGCTGTAAAAGAGTGCATGGTGGAGGGAGATTTTGAGGAGGCACTGCTGGAAATTTCACGAGAAATCTCTTCAGAATTCTCCTGTGCACATACCACCGATAATGCTGTCAGCCCTGGTAAGACTATAGGATCTGTTTATGATTTAACTACATTGCATTGTGGGATACCACATAATGCGCTCAGGTTGTAGAAGTAGTAGTAGGTCTATTCCATTCATACAAAATTTGTGCACAGTGTACATAATGCATGCTTAAAGAGATAGTCCACCCAAAAAAGAAATGTGTATGCATTTCTCATTATCTGTGGAATTTATATAAAAGAAGATATTTTGAAAAATGTTAATAACACCGCAATGCATCATATTTACTCAATGAAATCCAATACTTGTTTCTTAATTATTTAGGGGTACTGATTCCAAATATACTGCCTCTTTGC